TTAAGAATTGTAAATTAACAGTAAAAATTTGAAAGAAAAAATAATACAGTCATACAGTGTTTTTTTTTTTTCTTTTGGGACCTGACTTAACGATTTTTTTTTGACCGGGCAGACAGATTAATGGCAGTTAAAGAGAATCAACAAAACTTTTACAGTAGATCAATTTTTTGGTGTATTGGAAAGTTTTATTGCATTAGCGACACGTATACAACAAAAAAAAAAAGCTTACAGTACTGTTAAGAGAAAAAGTAATCTGTTTAACAATTTTTTTTTTAAATTTAAAAAATTCATAAAAAAAAAAGGAGACAAATATAATGGTCCCATTTATACATTCCCCCGTCCCTTCATCCCCCTCCCCCACACCGGTCCATCCTCCGTTTTCGGTGTATTTTATTTCATTTTTTTTTTTCTTGAAAAGAAATGAAATGCATCAGATGAAATAATTTCATTGAAGTTGGTGAAACTTTTTGCTTTTTTGCTTTTTTTTTTTTGTTTGCAAATTTTGTTTAACCAAACAAGCTTTTACTTTCTGTTCATGATTTTCTTTTTTTTTTTCTTAGTATATGTCTATTGGATGCGCTGTTTAACCAGTTTTTGTTCAACGGGCTATGCTGTATAATTTAACAATATTTTATCTTCAATAGTAAATCTACGTAAAAAAAGGCAACGAGAGTACAACGAAGAAAAATTTTGATAATCGAATGAATTTACTACATCCAAATAAAATTATTTTTTAAGCCAATAGACAAGGGGACGGAGGAGAACCTTAGAAAGTTGTACCAACAGATAGTTTTCACTAAAAGTGCTATTGTTCCGTTAAACATGATGAACAAAAAAACCAGAAACTATTCTTAAGTTTATTGGCTTTTTTTCTTCCCTTTCTATTAAACCCATAGATATTATAAAATATTTGTGCACTAAAATTAGTAAACAATCTATTTGAAAATGTAATAATTAAATCAGATGCGTTTTTTATTTTATTTTTTTTTTTGTATAGTTGTCTCTGTAAAAGTAGTTTATCTAAATAACCTCAAAAAATAATGGTAACCATCCTAAAAAATACCAGAAATAATTATTTGCTAACAAATAAAATATAAAAAAAATCAATTTTTTAAAAAACTTCACCTATTTTCCAATTTCAAACTCGCCTTTTTCCCTAGAAAAAAAAGAAAAACTTACAGTAATGTCAGCTTAACTATCAACTGATTTTGAATATGATTTCCCGCATCAACCCCGGAGACCAAGCAGCAACAATTCGGTAGACAGAGAATTTCAAGTCTAACAACTAATACAGCAATGATTAAGAGGTGAAATTAATGATATGTTTTGTAAAACCTTCAACAAAAATGACAGCATCAATTGTCAGCTTATTCCATTTGAATTCCATGCAAAATTGTTTGATTCCATGAAATCACAAAACAGCAGGTTTCATAACTATTTTATCATGTCGACCGTTACGACGACTCTTAGGGATGTTGATAGAAGGCTAGCAACGGATTATGTTCTATGACTAATAGTTCGTTTAGAAATCAGTCTTGTTTGAGGGTTGGCTAAAAAATTTTTTCAAGAGAATATACGAAAATAAACGGGTAAACGGGTTGATAATGATAATTTTAAAAAACATTTACAACAACAAAAACTACGACAAAATGACAGAAAAAATAATTGTCGCTACAGACTATGGAAATCGAAAATTTTTGAATGAACCGCATCTTGGTTTTCAGATTTCTTTTAACCTATCAACAAGGCTTTCTTTTTCTTAAAAAACTTAACTGTCATCTACGACAGGCTTGAGCGACGTTAATTTGAAAAAAATAGCTTTAACAACGAACGAAATTAATGTAGACAAACGTAAGAGAAAAAATTTCTTGGCCAGCTGTCAGGAACACAAAGGGGTTTTATAATATTCCAGAGTTTCACTGCATGTATCTATGATCATAAGAAATGAACGAAATGAGCCAGTTTTAAATGTGCATTTCTCAAATTACTACCTCAAATACCAATATACCTATCCCTGAAAAAAATGCTATATTTGGTTTCCTATTTCTACATGCTATAAGAGTGTAAGCATCCTGGTTTTAGTAGAACATGCCAAAGATTTATATAATATTACATCATAACCTTAGTTTCAATTGCAGAATGCAATAAACAGCTTCGGCCAAAAACAGTTTAACAACGGTCTGTAAATTGACGAAAAAAAGCATAGGAGAGTGTTAAAAAAGGTGAAAATTTCAACGAGTTAATTCTACTTTTGTTAAGTCAGCTCTAAGCTTTCACAGTATATCAATTTGTAAATAATGTTAGGGTGCTCACTGAATCAGTATTTTGAGGTAAAAATGATCGAAAAAAGCCAAAATTTACTTTCTGCTGCGCTACAGCTTTCTGTTAAAATTCTGCAATAAAATAAAATCTGCTGCAAAAAATATGGGTAATTAGCGACATACTAACGGCATTTTTTCTCATACAAACCGAGCATATTTTATTTTAT